CACGGAGCCACTCCCCTCTCATCAGTTGCCTTCATCTCTTCTCAGGCAGAGTTTCCGCTGAACCCAGGGAGGATCAGAGAACCAAGTTTGAGACCCCTGAGGCCAGTCTTAGGGGGCTGTTACCGATTGCTGTCACATCCAGCTGTTCTCTGCTCGCTCAGCTAAGGGTGGCAGGCATTGGTTGCTGGGGGTCGGGGTTGTGTTAACAGTGAGTAAGGTGCCCCTTCCCTGCGTCCAATGAGCTGTGGGGTGCTGGCAGTGGAGAAAACGTGGTTCTAGGTTAGGAGGAATGTTCTAACCCAAACTGACCATCCTGCTCACTGATGTTTTCTCTGTCAGCCTCTACCAACTCAGACATCCAACTCATGGGAGTATGGTGTGCCCACACCCACAGGAAAGTTGGTCCCATGACAGAAAGAATCACTCTTCAGAGTGGCTAGGCCATCCAAAAGTTATTCTTGGATACACTCTCTGGAAGAGGATTTGGTTTGAATTTGTTTCTCCTCAAAAAAGAAAGTCAGGCAGTGGTGGTACATGCCTTTAATCCCAGCCCTCTGGAGGCAGAGGCAGGTGGATCTCTTGTGAGTTCGAGGCTAGTCTTGTCTACAACCAGAGGTGTTACACAGAGAAACTCTGTCTCAAAAAAGAAAAGAAAAAGAAAGTGAGCTCCTTTAGGAGACTCAGGCCGCTGGGCTAGCAGGCTGGGAAAGGCGGCTCCCTGCCACTCCCCATCCCTGCCCCTCCCCATCCCTGCCACTCCCCATCCCTGCCCCTCCCCATCCCTGCTCATCTTACTTTCAGCCGAACCAGAGCAGGAAGGAGATGATGTTTAGTGCACATCTCCCTGTGTGGTTTGGAAACGCCCCAGCCCCCTCTGAGCCTCAGTCTCCCTGCCCATAAAAGAGGCAGAAGAGTTTTCTTGCCTTAATACAGTTTGACTCCGCAATACGTAAAACATACTTAAAGGACCGGTCTACCAAGACACCTACCTGATGTCCCTAGCCTCAAGGACAGGGGCAGGATGCTCTGCTGAGGAGAAGAACTATATTTCCTGTTAGCTCGCTCTTGCTGGGTGCTGAACCAGTACTTTGGGCATGCTAGACAAGATGTCTTCCCGCGGTGCCACATCCCCAGCTCCTTTCTGTTAACTCCTTCAGACTCGTTCTCTGTGGGGTTTTGATGTTGTCTGATTGTCTTTATTTTTGGTCTGTTTGAGACAGTCTCATGGTGCAACCTTGGCTGGCCTAGAATTATTACATAAACCAAGCTTGCACCATCATCCTGGGCTTTGCTGCTGTTAGTGTTTTCAGACAATGTCACGTAGCACAGGCTGTTCTCAAACTATGAGGCTGAGGCTGATCCTCTGCCTCCACCTTCTACAAATTGAGGTGATAGGCTTCCGCTTCCATGCCTGGCATTATAGGTGTTTTGTTATGGTTTTGTTTATATTTGTTTTTTTTTTTTTGTTTTTTTTTTTTTTTTTTTTGCGTTAGAGTACAGGGTGGCCCCAGCTTGCTTTTACGCTCACTATCTTAGCTGAGGATAACCTTGAACTCTTTGTCCTTCTGCTTCTACCTCCCAAGTGCTGGGCTTCCATACAATGCATTACAGTCCTTAAACCCTTTGAACAGGGACATGGAGATTTGCCTGAACTCCTTTGTCTCCACATGTTATTCAGTCCTTGAAGTCACTCAGTCCAGTTAGCACCTCCACCTCAACATCATTGGTCCCTTGAACCCTGCTGGCAGGTGGCAAGTCTCTCCTGGAAGTTAGGGGTAAATTCCCCCACAAACCCTTTCGGTTCCTCCCTGCTCTCCTCTCAATCCTTTGCCATCAGGATAGAGTTGGATGGGGTTAGTGGAGGTGAGGAGCAGAACTGTTCTTTAACCAGACCGCTCAGGGAGTGAAGAGTGTACAGAAAGGGGAATTTTGGAAGATTCTTGACGGCAGACCCGTCTTCAGCTTTCCCAAGGTCATATATTTTGGTGGAGGTCCTTATCACATTGGCATCTGCATCAGGCATTCCCCTGGCTTGCTGACCGTAGTCTGGGCCTCCCTGCTCCTAACTGCCCGGGGAGTGTGTTAAATCTTCCTGCAGGGAGTTTCTCAGACTGCCTGAAGCTTTTTGGTTGTTAACCCTTCGTATAGTTAACAATGGCTTCTATTTCCTGAGCTGAGTGTCTGACATCCCAGACTCTACACTAAGGACTTTTTGATTTTATTTTGATCTTCCTAACATTTAAAAATGTTTGAAATTGCTGGGCAGCAGTGGTGTACCCCTTTGGGCAGCAGTGGTGTACCCTTTTAGTCTTAGGACTCTGGAGGCAGATCTCTGAGTCTGAAGCCAGTATGATCTACAGAGTGAGTTCAAGGACAGCCAGAAAAAAATGCTTTCTCAAAAAGACTGAAACAAACAAACACAAAAAGTTAAAAAAAAAATCACTGGTCCAATCTAAAATGCCCATCATTGTTACCTCTTAAATCCTGAAATGTCTTCCCAGTGTTCTCTTGAGTGTATAGATGAGCTAAACTCAGTTTGCCCAGGGGCTTTTAGCCATGGCCCTTGGTTCTGGGGCCCACAGAGCTAAGACTGAGTTAGACAGCTGGCAAGTGCTGCCGGGGCAGGCGACAGGGGCTGTCAGTGTGGGGCATTGGGTAACGGAATGCTGAAGTATGACAGGCATTGCATTGGAGAGGTATTTCACCGTCTCACCCGGAGCTCACACCTGAAAGAGGAAGCGTCTTATTTCGATTTTACAGAGGAAGAAACTGAGGCTCCCGCACATTTGGCAACTTCCTGGTGGTGAACCGAAGGCGGCAGCAGTGTTCAAGGCGCCCCAGCACCCCAGCACTTGGCCTTTTGGTTTCATTGTTGTTGAGAAAATGTCTCACTCTGTAGCACAGACTGCCCCCAAACTCATGGCAATCCTCCAGCCTCAGACTCTGTTGAGGTTACTGGCATAAACTACCATGTCCAGGCTCACTTTGGTTTTCAGGACCAATAACCCTCTTCCTGTGAGAAAAACAAAGAGGGCCCCACTGACACCATCCACTCTGTAGAATTCTTAAATACGTTATCTGGGCAGGGAACCTTAGAGACGAGTGTATGCTTAACTGGACCAGTGATTTCAAAGGTTTTGAAAGCCATGGCTGGGTCTCCTGGCTTGGGGTGGGCCGGGAGGGACTTGCCAGCTCTCATTTTCCCTCACTGTTTTTGTTGAATGGCAGTAGAGACCCAGGAGGAACACTTGCCTTGGGTTCTGCTCTCTGGAGTAGTCCAGAATATGGGCCTTGGAAGCAAAGGCAAGCCAGGGTAGGTCGCCTGCATTTAGCCACACCTGACACCACTGGAGCCTGCTGAGCCCGGGTCTCATGGCTGCGCACTCAAGTATTTGAGAGTCCTGCCTTTGCCTAGGGCTTAACATTCAGTGTGCGCCCTGCGAGAGAGTACACAGCAAGCCGGGCAGTGGACTGTGGCGTTCTCCTCTTTCAGACCCAGTCTCAGAAAGGTAACGGGAACTCCCAGGACAAAGAGCAGACAAGCAGGCCTCAAACCCAGGTCTGCCTTCCTCCAGAGCCAAGATTCAGTTCGTTGACTCTACCCACCCAGGACTGTGGGGCTGGACAGAGGGGATCGTAAGAAACAGTCGGTGGTGTCTTGAGCACGGTTCCAAAGGTCATATAGAAACTACAAGGCATAAATTTAGAGAAGGCCTCAGGGGATGGAATTTCCCCCCTCACAGACCTTACCAGGAAGTTCCCCCTCACAGACCTCTCTAGCTAAGGCTGTCCAAGCAAAGCTGCAGCTCTAGTGGGCTTTGATCAGGTAAATAGAGAGGTAACTGGGAATTTACTGCAGGACGTGCAGTGGTGAGAAAGGAGTTGAGAACAGAGGACTAGAGCGGAGGGTCTCACCTTCCTAGTGCTGCGACCCTTTAACACAGTTCCTCATGCTGTTGGACCCCAACCATAAACTTGTTTTTGTTGCTACTTCATAACTATAGTTTTGCTACTGTTATGAATTGTAATGTAAATATCTGGTATAAGACCCGGAGGTTGGGAAACACTAACAGAGCATGTGGGCAAGCAGCAGAAAGAGGAGTGTGTGTGTGTGTGTGGTGTGTGTATGTGCATGTGTGTGCATGTGTGTGTGCGCGTGTGTGTGCGTGTATGGTGTGTGTGGTGTGTGTGCGCACGCGCGCGTGTGCGTGTATGGTGTGTGTGCGCGTGTGTGTGTGTGTGTGTGTGGTGTGTGGTGTGTGTGTGTGATGTGAAGCCACCCTGCCCATTCCAACCGTACCCAAGTGCTTGCTGCATCATTTTGTAGACCAGTAAGACCTCAGAAGGTAGCTTGGGGCCTGTCAGTTAGGAAAGTAATCTGTTTTCTCCAGTTGTGTAAGACACTGTCAAGTTGAAGGGAAGCTGCGTTCTTAACGTTTGCTGTTTTGCTTTAGTCCTAACATTTCTGCCTCCTTTTAATCTTGAGTGATATGAAGGCCTGAGAGAGTAGCGTTTCTGATGTAAGCCCAACTTTCTGTTGTGTTCGCTCGTTTTGTTGCCACTTGTATCTTGGTGCTGGACTAACTTTGGGTAGATTTCCTTGGCGTGAAGGAAGAAAAGTTGTTGGTAGGTCTGAGGCTAACCAAAGCAGACTCCAGCTGGTGGTGGGTTGGGGCCGGGTTTGGCAGCCTTTCCTTCCTGAGCTTGAGCCGGCCGGGCAGTGCTGCCTGAATCTCGCCCAGTAGTGACGTCCGTGACGCTGCCCTGAGCCGGCGGGAGAGTCAGCGCAAACTCTGGTCTTCTTTGATCCCGGCCGGAATCCCCGTACCCCGGGCTGCAGCAACTGCACGCTCGGGCGAGCTCCACCCACCGAGGCGCCAATCCTACGGCCATTGGCGGATACCGCCTCCGCCACCTGCCCCTTACCTTGGGTGGGCGGGGCTACCTGGGCCCCGCCCCCGCGGCTCGAGTTCCCAGACGGCCGGGCCTCTGGACCCGCCCCCTTCACGGAGGCCCTGCCGCCGGAGCCTCGGCAGCACCGGCGCCTCGTGATGTCACGGCAGCTTTGATACAAAGAGCCCCTTCGGCCCACGCGGGTCTCCCGGCAACGGGTGCAGGCGGAGGCGGGACCGGCGGCTTCCACTGGTGCGGAGCAGCGCGCCGCCCGGATTGTTTTCGGAGGACGGTGCTGGCTTGGTCCCTGCGCGCCCTACCCGACCCGACTCGACTTGCGCCCGGCTTCTATTCCATCTGCAGCAGCCCGATCCGCGGTCGGTCGGGGGATGCGCACCCCGCCGGCTTCCGGATGCCAGGTAAGTGGCGGCCTCGGGACGCACCTGGCCTGGACCCGGGAGCTGGAAGTTGGAGGATCCGTCGGTCGCATCTACCCTCTACACTCCAACCGGGGAGATCGGGGTACCTGCGCTGTCTGGCGGGGGCTCAAAGGCTAAGCCACTGACCCCTCTGTCCGCTCCGGGGCCCTCGGTCCAGCGCCCAGGTGGGTGCATGAGCGGTACCAGCTTGGTGCCCTAGCAGGGTGACTGCACTCCCTACGGCACTGTTTGCAGAAGTGCTTTAGGGGGATTTGGTGGGGCTGGAAGGGGACTTGTGCTCCCCCTCTCCACCCCAGACACACACATCAGCGCCCTGCTTTTGGCTGGGCTGCTTCCCTAGAGAGCTGTGCATGGCGAAGTTTTTCCGTAGGTGGTGGCGACCGCGCGGAGCCTGATTTTTGCTGTTCCTCTCTTCCGGGGTATCTGAAGGGTCTGAAGACAGAGCCAGCCAGTTAGGGATTTGAGACAGGACCTGCCTACCCTCAGAGCGACGCTGCTATGGGTGGAGGTGTGCGCAGGCTGCGGGCTTACGTCCTTGAGCCCTTTAAAAGCCTACAGTCCACCTCGGTGTAAGTTGACCCAACTGCTTCTCTGCTGCGACAAGTATCTCCCAGGGCCTAGCATCTCAGCCTCTGTATACCTGGTTCCCACACAGCCCTAGACCGTGTTCCATACCATCGTCACACCTCTCCATTCCCACTTCTGGACCTGCTTTTTCCCAAAGAGCTGGAAATGACTCGTCCCCGGACTCGGAGGGTCTCGCCTGAGTCCATTGATTTATAGACCTCCTCAAAGGAGCCGAGGGATTTGGGGGCGGGGCGGGGAGTCCTGCTGTGTGCTTCTTGCATTCCTTTTGAATTGGGCCCCACGTTCCACTGGACCTGGTGATCTCCTTAAACCTCTGCCTCCCTCCTCTGCCTCCCTTCACCGAGCAGGAGGCAGGTGATAATTGCTTGGGTTTCCTCATTCCCTGTGCCAATTTCCAGGGCCCTCCCCGGGAGAAAGATGTGTTTCTCTGATTGCTAGGGAAAGGAATCTCTGTGGGGAGGGCTTTACGACTGCTAAGACCTCTGCTGTGGGATGTCTCCTCTACCCACTCTCACTAGCTGAGATCTCCTGATTCAGCCCCCCCCCCCGACCCCCACTAGGTTCTGGTCTGTGGCACCCAGAATTTAACCTGCTCATTGGCCTCTCATGAATGCAGAGTTAAATACCTAGGAAATTTTACGTGGGACACGGCCTTGCCCTCCCGGGGACATTGAGTTCCTGGATCTAATCTGACACTTCCCAACTATCTTGAACGCTTGGGCCAGTTCTTGTGAGTACTTTGAGGTTGAGGACAGAGTGACCTGTAGGAGTGGAGTACGCTGGTGAAGAACGTGTGGCTGGTGCACCTAAGCCGCCCAGCTTGGTTGGGTTGGCTGCCTGGTGGAAACCTGTCTGGAGTTTTGGGTTCTGGGTTTAGGTGTAAGGACCTGAGTAAAAGCTGAGCGATAAGACTGGCCTTCCGGGCAGGGATGGTTTACTAGCCAGGCCAGATAAGCAAATTGGAAAGGCTGACCTTTGCCCCAAGGGAGATCTTACTGGACAGACTGCCTGGAGCCTGTCCTTGGAAAGGACTTTTAGCCAGGGAAGGAGGAAAGACTGAAGTTCAAGGGACCAGAGTGGTTTGCACTGTCTTTGTGTGTGTGGGAAGCTCTACTGGGCAATTGCACGGGGTTGGCAAGGGTTCCCGTCTGATCTAGGTCTAAGGCAGGCTGGCATCTTCTGGCCTTTCGCTGTCCTGGGAGGCTCTTTCTCTCTACTCCTTTGTCATCCCCACGCTCGTGATGGTGAGGAGTGCCTTGTTTGGGGGGGCGGCAGTCCCTCTTGGTAGCCTCCTGTGCCTATGCTTTCTTCATAGTGAATCTTGCGTTGCAGGGTTTGGGAATTTTCCGTCAGTGTATTTATTTTAGGTGAGCGTCAGGAGGAGCTGGAGTGGGAGAGATTCCCTGTGAGACTCAGGTGGACAGGCGTCTTCGGGGTAGAGTTGGAATAGTCCAGGCAGAGTCCCACTCCACGCTCTAGTCTATGCTGTCTCCTGGCACAGGGCTTGTGTTTCAAACACGAAGATTTCTCGTCTGGCCCACTACCTGGCATTAGTGGGGGCTACTACCCTGGCCTCACACAGGACCCTGAGGGTGGTGTTGTTTTCCCTGGGTTAGCTCTGCTAACGCTTGACTCAGTAAATAGGTCTTTATGGTGTCAAATCACTGGCCATGAAATGAGGAAGACTGCTCAGGTGTCACTGCTGGATGACTGAGGGCCCTGCCCTGACCAGCTGGGTGTGTTCTGTCATGCCCACCTGGTATTGCACTGGACATTGTAATCTTTCCTGGATGGCACTGCAGTCTCCTCTGTCAGGAGGCGTTTCAGGGCAGAGCACTTTTCCCACATTGCCCGCCACGGGGCGAGTGGTGCTTCATTCATTCATTCATTCCATAGAAACTTAGGTATCCGGTTTGTGCCTGCTCCTGTGCTCCGTGTTGCGGCTCTGTCAGTGAATGAGATGGATGTGCGCCCTTGCTTCATGGAGCTACGTTATGGGAGTAAGGCAAACCACCCGGACACCAGGCAGCTGGAGAGCAAGCAGGGAGAACGGAGGGGAGCTGGATTTAAACAGTGGCCAGGGAAGTCACTGCTGAGAAGGGACATCTTGACAGAAAAAGAACAGAGGGAACAGCGACTGTAAAGGCCCCGAAGTGTGCGTCACATCTAACACGGGGTACCCAGCCGGACTGCAGGGTTTAGCTGTGCTCGGAGAAGACCGAGCAGGCAGGGGAATAAGCTCTGAGGTGCGGAGGGATGCCTGCTGCTTCCAGGCAGCAGGGAACGGGGTGGAGCAATAGTGGCTCAAGTCACCTTTCATGGCTCTGCTGTCTTATACTCCTTGGTGTCGAGGGGCAAATGGAATCTCTCAGGGAAGAGATGTCTGTGTGACGCTGCTCTGAGCTTCCTGCCCCAGCCTGGGTCTGGTCCCATAAACCTGTCCACGTGTCTGTGGATGGGCGCAAATCACGTGGTTTCCACCACCCAACTGAAAGCAGTGAAGCCTTGCTGGTGACATGCTGGCAGCTGTGTCTTGGAGCTGATAGCTGCTTGGAGTCCATCCTTGTTCATACTGTTGCTCCTAACAGGTGGGGGAAGTCCTGTTATAAGACCCACTAGGTGGTCCACACGCTGACTGTCTTCATCGCTCTCCAGATCCCCTTGGCCCCAGATGCCCTAGACATCCCGCTACCTGTCTACTATGTGTTGGCCCAGAGACATAGTTGTGTGTGTGTGACCTCCAGCCTCAGCCTTGTCCAGCAGGTGGGGTTGGGTGATGGCAGCATGTCTAACCCTGCATTTGACTTCCCTCAGGAAAGAGGACGGTCTCCGTTTTTGGTCAGAGATTTAATTTATTCAACCGGCATTGTCTTCTCAGACAAGTGAGTTCTTTCCCAAGCGGGTTGACATTATCCAAATAAAAACAGAGATCTGACAGTGTGGTGCTTTGAAAGAAAGTGGCCCCCAAGGGAGTGGCAATGTTAGGAGGCGTGGCCTTGCTGGAGGAAGCACATAGCTCTGGGGCAGATGAGGTCTGTTTTCTCTAGCTTCATTCAGCGTGATGGCCAGTCTACTTCCTGTTGCCTCTGAGTCAAGATGTAGCTCCATCAGCTCCAGTACCTGCATGCTGCCATGCTCCCTGCCATTTTTATAACAGACCAAGCCTCTGAAACTGTGAGCAAGCCATTCCCACCAAGTATTTTCTTTATAAGAGTTGCTGTGGTCATGGTTTCTCCTCAGCAATATAAACTCTAGCTAAGACAGATAGTTACTGTGGTTTTGTCTGTGGGAGCCTTATTTTTAAAAACTTTTAAAGCCAGGCTGTGGTGGTGCACGCCTTTAATCCCAGCACTCAGGAGGGAAATGCAGGTAAATCTCTGTAAATTTGGGGCCAGCCTGGTTTACAGAGCTAGCTAGTTCCAGAACAGTCAGGACTACACAGAGAAACCCTATCTTGAAAAAAAAAATTAAGCATCTTTTGTTTTTTAAAGGTTTATTATTATTTTTGGTTATGTGTAGGTGTGTATGTCCATGCGGGGGTGCATGCATGTGAGTATGGGTGCCCTCAGAGGCATCAGTGCCCCTGGAGTTGGATTACAGACAGAATGGGCCACCTGACGTCTGTGCTGAGACTGACTCAGGTCCTCTGAACCACTGAGCCATCTCCAGCCCTTCAATTTTTTTTTTAATTTTAAAATATGTGTGTGTGCACATGCATGTACACCTCAGTGCACGTGAGTATGTGTGCCCATGCATGTACACCTCAGTGCAGGTGTGTGTGTGTGTGTGTGTGCACATGCATGTATACCTGAATGTAGGTGAGTGTGTGCACATGCATGTACACCTGAATGCAGGTGAGTGTGTGTGCACATGCATGTACACCTGAGTGCAGGTGAGTGTGTGTGCACACGAATGTACACCTTAGTGCAGGTGAGTGTGTGTGCACATGCATATACACCTCAGTGCAGGTGAGTGTGTGTGCACATGAATATACACCTAAGTGCAGGTGAGTGTATGTGTACATGCATGTACACCTCAGTGCAGGTGAGTGTTTGTGTGTGTGTGCAGGTGAGTGTGTGTGCACATGCATGTACACCTGAATGCAGGTGCTGGCAGAGGCCAGAGGAATTGGACCTCCCTGGACTTACAGGCAGCTGTGAGCAGCTGACATGGGTGCTAAGAATCTAAAGCCAGGTCCTCTAGAAGAGCAGAAAATGCTCTTAACCTCTGAGATGTCTCTCTAGCACCCCTCTTCTTTAAAAATAAAGACCAGGGGGAAAAATAAACAAACAAAAAAACCTAGGACACCGCTATGCAGTCCTGGAAGGCTTGACAATTGTTTTGTTGACTAAGCTGGTCTAGAAATTGCAGAGATCCTCCTGCCTCTTCTT